AATAGACTAGAGTTGATCGAACGGCATGGCTCGGCCATGCAGGCGTGGTCTCTGCTGAATGTTACCTTATATCTTCTATTCATATTAAATATATTGTTCTTTCTCTAGCCTAACCTTGTTCTACATCATGTATTGGTAATTGATACGATACAGTGAGTTGGTGTAGTCGATGGTGTGACTTCCACGTAAGATCTTATAGAATAGGCAGTCATATCATGACAAATCTACAAATTTAGGATTAGGTCTATTATTAGAGCAGTACTAATATCATAGTAGATCATAATTCTGCAGGTGAACTCAAAGTTATTTAGCTGGGAAACTGAGCTTAGTGGAGTACCCCAAGGTACAATTTTGGGGCCAGTGCTATTCCTCTTGTATGTAAATGACCTTCCTCATCTCCTATCATCATCAGTCTTGCTATATGCTGACGATGTCAAAATATGGAGAACGATACGATGTAAGAGTGATAGCTTAGAACTTTAAAATGACTTGAAGTTATCTGAATGGTCTCAAACCTGTCAGTTACCGATAAATACTTCCAAGTGGGTTGTGATGCATAGCGGTCATCAAGGCACAGATAAATACACGATGAATAACACTGAGCTACCTGTCGGCCAGACATATAATGACTTAGGAGTTATCGTTAGTCAAGACTTAAAGACTACTGCACACTGCCGTGCAATAGCCGCCAAAGGTTTTGGAACCTTATGGTCAATACGTAGAGCCATTAGTCATGTCGACGGTAAAACGTTTCTGACTTTGTATGCAGTGTTCGTACGTCCTAAACTTGAGTACTGCATACAAGCTGCTAGCCCCTGCTTAAAAAAAGACAGTGAGCTTTTGGAAAAGGTTCAGAGAACGGCAACTATGCTGATTCCCGGAATAGCGAAGCTTCCGTATGAAATTTGACTGGCCAAGCTGAACCTTTTCCCGTTGTCATATCGCAGAACTTGAGGCGACTTGATTACAGTCTACAAATTGCTTAGTGATAAATTTGCACGTGATATGCCCTCATTTTTCTTGTCTTCCAAAACAGAGAATTTACGACGACACTCCAAAAACGTCCACAAGCCGAGAACAAAGTACTTGTCAGCTGACTATCGACTTTCCCATCGGATCATCAACGAGTGGAATTCACTACCTCATCACGTGGTTGAGGCTCCAATCGTCGACTATTTCAAAAGAAAGTTGGATCAACTGAGAGACCACCATTGTCAGGACTATCATAGGCCATCAAGCCTCCTGTCCTCCCCAAACTGAAACTGATTAAAGTCTAAAATACGAGTTTTCAATCGTTAACAGACATTTGTGTCAAAACTTTCTAACGACTTGGCCAAAACTTTCTATTGTCCGATATGGATTAGTGTGCGAATACTTAAGAAGGCAAGTTTGAGTGCGACATGTGGTTCCATAAAGATTGGTTTTTGTCACTTATTCACTAGGGAGATCTAACCTTTCATTAATCAGAGACTTGCGATGGTTTTTGTCACAGGTACAATCCTCTATCCAACTACTATGATAAGCAGCAGGGTGTTTTATTATGGAGATGCTATAACTCTAGTGGTAGCGAAACATGAAGCACCTGGTTTAGTGGTAGAAATACGATTGAGACTACTCTCCGGCAAACTGGTGAATCGTGGCAATTCAGTCGAGAACCCATCCCGTTATCATCAACTTTTTGAAGAGTGGGAGCGAAATAACCAGTCAGAAAATTCAAAGTACGGGATGGAAAAAATACAGACTATCGCAAATGAATGATGGTGGGCAAAGTTTTCCCAAAATTATGAAAATGTCACGATCACATAAAACTGGATGGTGGTGGCAAGGAATTACATTTTAATGAAAGTATCCAAATCTAAGCAATGAAGATAGCAGTGATTACCAGAAGGAGGAATATATTAAATTTTATTCTGATTTCGCGTAGTGTGAGGCTTAAGCAGACTAAGGTAGGCAGATAAGAGTCAACTGCTTTCTTAGTGTTGGTTTAGAAAGAACAGAATAAGGACGTAGAGTTATTTACATCTAGATTTAACATAAGCATTCTGTTTTCTACTTCTCCTTATTAAATGACGAAGCTTACTAAGGTCGATGTAGTGCACTTTTCTCCACCATCAGTGTAGTAAATGTTGTAACCAAACCATCAAAACAACTTTCTGGTTAAGGTCCTACATAACTTTTAAATATTTTACGCTGAGCCGAGAGAACATCCACCAATAGGTTGCACTGTGATCCGGGATTGATGCCCTCAGTAAGAATGAAGTCAACCTTAATGCTGAATTATATGCTGGATGTGGAGTTGCGGGCCAGAAAGAGAAACTTTGTCATGACGGAAGATGTGGCGTTAGGAAATCATGATTGCGATTTTTGGACGTCTCCTCAAAATTAAATAGTAAACCAGTTACTTTGGACAATTTGCTATGAACGCATGGCTGGTTCCTATATGAATATTTTGTAGGATGTTTTTCATCGTATTTCTCTCCACTATCGTATACTCACTTTCCATTTATGGTTTTGTGTTTGTTAAAGATTAATCTAACAAATACTTAGCGATGTAATTATCACCTGAGGTTGTAAACTAATCCACTTGTAAAATACAAGAACCTCCAGTTCAGTCACTTTACATTTCAAGACTCCTGCATTTGAGAAAGTACATCGAAGACTCATAACGATTGTTCAACACTGAAATTATAAAACAAATGGGTCATTGAAGCAATATATTGAATTTGTCAACAACAAGCATTGAAAAGCTTTACTACATAGGAATAAAGGTCGACTCTAAAAATGCACATCTCGCCTTATCCTAAGGATATTCGCCTCCGGCGGTAAGGTTCCAATAATTACGGAGCTAACACGAAAATTACTCACAAAAAGATCGTGTGTGACCGACCTCAAGCAGTCGTACTTTGAGCACTGCGGACACACCCTCAGGTCACTAAGAGTACCCCTAACCCAATTTCTTTTTCAGGCACCTTCAGAAGAACCCTTTCACGGTGTGGGCAACCGGGATGTGGCAACTACCTTCATATCTCTGACAGCATTCAAGTTCACTGTATTCATAAGCTCTATCACCAGAACTATTGCTTTTTGCTGATGACGTGAAACTTTGGAGAGAGATATGGAACCAAGAGTATAAACTTTCATTTCAGGAGGATATGATTCCACTTCAAAGTTGGGCGGAGAACAATGGACTTACCTATTACAATCCATGGTTTCAAGTAGTCCATCTGAGACATGTTGCAGACTACAAATACAACTCAGGCAACTCCCCCCCCCAGAGGCATCTCAAAATGAAAGAGTATTGGAGTGTTAGTACCCTGCGATTTGAGGTCTTAAGCCGAATGCGACAGAAATGTCATTCGAGCAAACCTTACACTGGCAAAATTGGAGCGCATTTCTGGCCATTTTGACGGAAGAACGTTCCACATGGTATTTCCTCCCTCACTCCACAAGGATAAGGACACTCTGGAACGTATCCAAGGACGAGCCACGAAATCAGTCTTCGGACTCAAACTCAAGCCTTATGAAGAGCGCCTGCAATCACTAAACCTTTACCCATTAGAGTATAGGCGTCTTAGAGCTGACCTCCTGATAGCTTTCAGCACCCTAAATACTCGTGGATATCCTCTTAAACACTTATGTTTAGTTCCGACACAAAACTTAGGGGTAACACTCAAAGACTGGAGGTGCAGCACACGAGAAAGGACCTTCGACACACCTTCTGCTGATTAAGAGTAGCTGAATGCCGGAATTTCCTGTTCAAGCGACTTCATGGGAGTCCTTTAAGAGAAAACTTGACATATTCTTGAGGACTAAGGGTAGTATATTACTATGATTTACCACTTTCCTTTTCTTCTCTTATCGACAATATACTTAGGTTTCTGCCCGGAGGTATTGGTGATCCACTGCTACTAGACACGGAAGCTCGTTAAGCGAAAGCTTATCCTATTCCGTTCAAAACCATTTGAAACATTTGAAATATCTGTTTAAAGAGCAGATAATCAGTTTATTCACTATTATTCGAAGGTATCTATTACTTTTTGTAACTAAAATTGAGCTAAGATATCTTAGATGTGGATTTCAGGAAATACTGTTTACTGATTCCACTTAACAAAGATTGGGAGTTGAAACTACTGGCGCCTGTTTGTGTCTTTGAATCCAGCGTGACAGTTTATTGTCTGTTAGGTAACGTGAGCCCATTATGTCAGACGTGTAAGTCCATGTAGCATCACACTGCTTTAATGTAGATGTTTGTTTCTGTTCTTCACGGGTAATCACCACAGTAAAACTTGCAAAGTAACATTCTGTTACATAAATCCTATAGCAGTTTCTAATTAAGCGTTTAGAATTAACCCAGGAAAGTAGTTAAAATACCTAACTATTATCGAATTTTCAAAATTTTACAGGGTTATACTTTTTATTCAACTATAGGAATTCTAATCATCCCCTACAATCCCTTCCCATAGTCTTGGGATTAGACGATAAGTGTTTGGGTAGCTGCGTTAGATTGCATTTGTGTCCTGTTACGTAATTGCTACCATTCATAAAAACTGTCGTCCAAATTAAAACGAATAGTTTAAGAGTAGTTAGGTGTCAAATTACTGTAAGACTTTCAGGAAGAAAATTATATTTTCTCAGTGGTTGAATTTGAAGCAAGGCCGACATTTCATTGGGAGAGGTTGAACTAAATTGCCAAGCGAAACGTTGGATCCACGTAAAGATTTTCTACGGAATTATTCCCCAGTGTGATTCTACTGATATTTCCTAGGTCGTTTGTAAGTACAGGATGATCAGTGACAAGCCTAATTAATAGTTAGTGATTGAAATCATTCTGAATAATATTTCTTCGTTAAAGAGTTCGGAAAGGCTTGCTCAGGCTTATGTCATGGCAACGGTGATCAATCTGACTTCTACTTTTCAGTCAAACAAGCCGTAATGTTGCCTGACACTTAAAACACCGCTTGAGTTTCCCTATAAGTCAATTAGTTGTACCGTGATTCTCGTTAACGTCATTTGCCTCCAACTTTACGAGCCCTAAAGTCAGTTGTTCGTCCACTGCTATTTACCTAAATCTAAAGTCTTCAAAACACCTTTGTCTTTTGTGTTTTAAATTGTAATAGTCGTGGTAGTTTAAGTAGTTATATCAGATTCGACAGACAATAACTATCGACTTGTTTTTCAAAATCATTGCATACTGACTCATCCGGTTTATTGCCATTACCATGGACAGTTGTAATTTTTCTTGTGGTTAGTTGATTGTTTTATTACCGTGGTATCATTCAGTGATGTATAGCTTGTTTTACTTCTGTATTGAAAGCATTATAAGACGGTGTGTGATCAGTACATTTCCAGTTGAAAACGGAATTTCACTTTATCTAACTAATCGTCACTACGTGTGATATTTTGATGTCTGCAAAGGTAATAATCGTTGGCTCTGTAAATAGATTTGCTACTTACACTAACTCCACATTTCTTGTTCGTATTTAGAAAGAAAACTGATGCTCAGTCAGCTACTCCCAAGAGACCTAAGAAGCCAGAGGGTCTCCGCTTGAAAGAAAAGATTAGACGACGAAAATTGATTACAGTGGCTCGCAAAAAGGTGGTACGCCGACAAACTTATATGCGGTTAAAATGTCTCATGAAGCAACGAGCGGAAAAATACATGCACGTAAGTTCTGTGTAACATAATGACTGTTTCAGGAGTACCGCAGAATGGCAAAGCGGGAAATCACGTTGCAGCGTAATGCTAAAAAAACGGGAGACTTTTATGTCCCAGCTGAACCAAAACTCGCATTTGTCGTGCGAATCCGGGGTATTAACGGTGTCCACCCACGCCCAAGAAAGACCATGCAGCTGTTTCGCCTTCGGCAAATCAACAACGGGATGTTTGTGCGACTAAATAAGGTAGTTCCTGCTTTTCACTTATCATTATCGTACAGGCAACTCTTAACATGCTTCGAATAATTGATCCATATGTCGCTTGGGGTTACCCTAGTCTTAAAATTATTCGTCAACTTATTTATAAACGCGGATTTTGTAAGTACCATGGTACACGGCTCCCTTTAACAAATGAGCTAATTGAACACAAACTTGGACATCTTGGTTTAATATGCGTTGAGGACCTTGTACATGAAATATATACAGTTGGACCAAACTTCAAACATGCTGTTGCTTTTCTATGGACATTCAAGTTGAACAATCCTAGTGGTGGTTTTCGCAAGAAAGGAAAGCACTTTGTCGAAGGTGGTGATTTTGGCAACCGAGAAACCTACATAAATCGGTTACTTAAAGCTATGATTTAAATAAATAAGTTACGCTTGGTAATTTTCATGATCTTTTTTTCTTTCATCAATACCGCTTAGGCTCCTTTTACACTTGAAAACCATTCATATTGCTAGCAACATTTTCTAGAACCTCAGTTATCATAGAAAGTCCAGCACAAATATGAGTCAGCACGAGTCACTATATCGCATCACAACGTCAAGATGAAATCAGCAAGGTATAAGAAGAACCGAGATAACAGTATTGAAGATGATGCAACGTAACACCTACGATCAAAGCGTGCAACTTTAAATTACTATTATGAAATGCCACAATCGTACAGTAATACGGAGGTCTATTTTGCAGTTCATTCTCTGTTCGGTTAATAGATATCTTAATCCATAGGTAGATTTTTCAAATTAGTGCATAGAATCTCTCAGATACCGTCCCAACAGGGCTTCTGAGGTCGTCGGTGCGATCGACTATGTCATTACCTGTCATTAGTCTGCCGGTTGGCGCGTATCAACATTAAGGTACAAGTTTACGTTCAGAAGGCAGAGAACATCCTCAACATTTTATTTACTCCGAAGAAGTGGCTTATACTAGGTCCCGAAACGTCAGAGATATAATTTTTCTACTCGGGATATAAAAATATATTTATTACCTTAACATTGTTACTCGGGTTGCCAATAATGATTGGGTTTTCTTCCACTGGGCCTAATTTAGGCGTCAAATGTGTCAATCACTCAAGTTATGTGGAAATCGAAGGTACTCGGATTTCTGTCGAGCTGTTCCTTGAAGTGTTCTGCCCATCGCTCCAAACCCCTGTCATCGTCTTTTTGCAAATACTTGTTTATCCGAAAAGTATAAACAGTAGTCGCTAGTTTTTCTATCTGCTTTATTCCCATTACTCCTTAAGGTGGCTTCACATACTTTTTGTCAATTCCTTGGTTACTTTTTCGTGTTCAGGGCTTCACAGGATGAGTTTCTACCCATCTACCGTTGCTGCTGACATGTATCGGTCTTTCTTGCACTTCAGGGTCAAGTTACTAGTTGGTGTTATGTCTCTCTTGATATCGTCACATGTTGTGTTGCTATGACTTGTTTTAATGGTCGACTAAATGCTTGTTTCTGAAGTATACTCTTGGATTCTTCATCGAGGAACCATAAGGGGACATAATGCTGTGGTTATTTTGATTACAATATGACAGGCAAATATGTGTCCGTACTCATGAATAGAGACCAAAAATGTGTATCAGAAAAAACGACAACCTGTCCAATCTCTTCAATGGTGTTTAGTAGTGATATCGTCTATTTGTGTGCATCATTGACTGTGCAGGTCGTGTCAGACGTTGCTTCGCCTTGTGCTTATAATTGATACTTGCTGGAAAAGACGTTTGTCTAATCATGGCCGGAGCGGACAGTTGTCACATATAATCAATTGTCTTTCGTTTTGATATAGCCTGCCTACTCAGACATTAACATCACTTGCTACAAACACTTCCCGACGGAGGTCAGAAACTTCCCCGTAAACTCATCTTTCTCGACATGAAAAATAAGTCTCACTGGTTTTCTATATTGACTAGATGAGGTCGAATGAATGGCCCCACTTAAACCCTGTGTTTTAGAGATGCAGCATTTGTCAATGGTACAAGGTTCACGAGTTCTAGTTAATAAAGCTTGTTATCCGATTTCACATAAGGTTAGGACGTTGGGGGATTTAATATATATAGTTTGAATTGCAGTCTTAGCTGAGCAGGAATGATATTTCGTAAACCCAAATGAAGCGTGAGAAAAAAGTTTAGGATCGGAGCCAGCAGTAAAAATAAAACTTGGGAAGCGAAGGAATTTAATTGTGGGTAAGTTTATATGGGTCGTCATTTATCGAATGTCGTTTATCCTCTTGGCTTTTGTATGTATTTCAAACTTAATTCTAAATAGTTAGGAACTATCCAGCCTACATTTTTAAGTTGGCTGATATACTTGTTGATGGCCAGCGAAGAATTTCTAGTTTCGCATTTGTAAAGAATGTTTACTTACATTGTAGAATCAAAGGTTTATCAACTGTTTTAGCAAGCACTCGCAACTTGGAAGATAAGGTAGTACAAAAAATACTGAAGGGAATTGAGTTCTCTGAAACACTCAATCAATGAGACTGAACGCGCAACCCTTACAATGCGGATTAACAATATGAACTTCTGACGATGGTGGTGGGAAGATGTCTTGATATCCAGTGGCAATACGGTTTCGACTTCCTAATATGGTCCTATACATTATCTAGTAACCGTTGACTGTGTATATGCATACGCCTTGCTACCTATTTTAGTTGATAAAGTTTATCTACTTACAAACTTAGCCAGTCATCTATTTTAGTTAGAAACGTTAATAGGTCACAATCCTCTGAAGTTTAGGTATTCTTCCAACGACCAGATAATAGTCTGCTAGATAACGCTAGTCTAGTGGGCAAAAAAAATCGAAGAGAAAGTAATGCTTTAACAAAATCAAACAGCAAGGATATGTGCAACTTGATGACAATTTATATTTTCATCGACTGAACATAGAGGAAACTCCATGTATCTTCTAAACAAACCTGTAACTTCGTAGTTTTAATGTTTCTAGGTCTTTTATTCGTAGTCTGAAATTTAAGCATTATCACTTCAAAACCTTCCAAATCATGTTTGAAATCTGATATTAAGTTTGATATGACTGGGTAATTGTTTTTGGGTCTGCGACTAGTTCCGAGTTCATTTACTTGTTTCTATGTGACAGTTAAATCCTTATCGACAGGTCATTGACATGACCTAGTTGTTGATTGATCTTATCTGCCATCACCACTCACAATAATTCAAATATGTGAATTTTTGGACTATGATTGAGAAATGTGAGTGCAGACAGAAGTTCATATCAGTCTTGTAGAAATACTCTTCATTTCAAAAGTGTAATGTAGACATTTTCGAACATTAATTGCTAACTGATTGAATGTGGTTTGGTTAGCTCGTTTATTATCACACGATTAAGAAAAGTCAGTCGCTTACCCAAGATAGAAGTATTTTTGCCGACAACAGATGCACATCCACGAACTTTCAGAGCAATTTACAGAATGTCATCGATAGTAATGCTGAAATCGGGTGACTAATTAGCTAATTCTTGATTGGAACATTGGAAAGATGTCTGTATACCACAGCTCTGTCTGGTGTGTTTGTGTGTAAAGCCTACACGATGCACTTAAGAAACACTATTAGACTTGTGATCTACGAGCTGGGTAGATTTATTGTGAACCTTTCATTGTTCTGAACAACAATCGACACGTACTTCAAATAGAGTTATTGTGATCTCTACCATTGACTAACGGCTTGTTCTGTTGACCTGGGATTTGATTGGTTGTTATCCGTAGCTGTACGGTCTATTGTGTGTTTGTTTCGGATGCTTTCTCTCCTGACTTGAATTGTAATTTTGCAGTTGTTAATCCGTCTCCTTATTTCTGATAAACTGGCTAATTTTGATCTAGTGCTTTATGCTTGGTTAGAGTGGCAGGTGACTGCTGACCTTCAACAGATGTGAGGGTGTTCCACCATTCAGTGAACGCTGAAGACGTGATCTATGCGGACTTGAGTCCCGAATAGCGACCGATTTTTCCCTTGAGAGTTGGTCCTTCAGAAGTCTAGAAAGCTGGTATTTCGAAACCAATAAGAACGAGGCTACTATACAGAAAACTGCTTTGTGAATTACATAATCTGAGATGGGGGAGACGACCGCTTCACTTTACAACCATGAAACACTCCTTTTCTTATACTTTTATAAACAACCCGGATAAGCCTATGAAATAGGAGCAAGATGTATAATGCAGTGATTTTGCCAGATTTGTTAGTTAGCGGATTTTAGATTATTGATTTCAAAATTGTATATATACAAAAAAAGTCTACATAGTAGGATCAAACATAAGAAAGTTTAATATAACAAGAGCATTCTTGTTTTTAACTAGAACTTCGTTAGGATTTACTTTAATGGAACAGTATTATCTACATGGATCTATGAAAAATATGAAAAAAGGTGACAGCAGTTTATAAAACAAAGATAATGAAATGTCTTAGGGACTCGGGATCTGACTCCATTTATAATCGTATGAGTGATTGTTACCAAAATATACATCCTGGCTGTCCTCGTATATTTGATCAACTTGAATAGCATTGGTGAATAACGGTAATAAATAAGCCAAATACGCGAATGGATTTTGAGTACATGAATTTTGTACACTCACTGATCTGGACAGGAAATGGGAGTGATGGATCGAATAGAAGAAAGAAGGCAGGTAAGCCCAACTTCATTTAATAAAGCGGTAAGCAATATTTATAGTCACAAAAATAAATTACAGATATGTGATGAATAGGATAAGGAGTGTACACACTTATATGCGCTTATATAAAAACAATTAGGGTTGATAAGCGAATAATTAACAAGGTCAAAGAGTTGACAATTAGTGTTGTTTGATTATGCAGTATTCAGTGTACACTTGACCAGTTTCCATTAATTTGTCATTTAAAAATGAAGAAATATATGATAGTTCAGACTGAAGGGGAACTATAATGGACAACTTGGATTCAGCTAGATGATTTAAATTGACAAATGAACAAGCTCGTTTACACCATACAAAAGATCCGCAAATGCAACACGGAAATCATCAACCCAATCACACACTTGATACACATTACATCAATAATTTGTTTGTTTTATTATCTGAATTTATTAAACAGGATGTTTTTGCAAAAAAACGCTCCAAATAATATTCAAACTACTTTATTTCTATTTAAGTAACATTTGCTTACGTTGAATTTTATTGCTTCTTCAAATTATCATTTCAGATTTTTTGAAGACTAAATAGTCTCAAGTTACTTAATAGTTCTAATCAAAAGTCCATCCAGAATTGTGAGAATAGTTTAGTTAAAATATTCTTTTAATTGATCATACTACTTAAATTCACTGTTATTTATATTCATGGAAGTGTGGGTGAATTCACAATACTATAATGCTGTAAATCTTTTATTTAATATTATAAATATAATGATCTTGATGCTTTCATTATTGTGGATAATATTCAAGGAATATATTGAATATAGATAATGATGCATTATCTAAACGAATTCATAATCACATATTGTTTTAAAAAGTAAAATGATTCACATAATTCCAAATCATTAATCGGATTAGAAATTTTGTGCCTGAATATAACCCTTATTCGATTGATAGAAGAAACTAGACAAATAGTGAATACGTGTTTATTGAGATCTGAGGACAGTGATAATGGAGTGGGAGGTTACCTGTTCAAACACAAAGCTTTACAACATTCAATAAAAGAGAATGGAATATTTAATGTTTGTCAGAAATAAGGAAGTGAATGAATGAGCTACAAATCTTCTCCACCATCTCAAGTGAATGAATATTTGAGCTCTATTGTTTTGACACCTACTTAGTTGTTTGAGGTCAACTCTTGACTAATCAACCTAAGATGTTACACGTCGTCTCTCCCCCTCTCTCTCTCTCTCTCTCATTTTCAAAATAGACTATTTTCAGCGGACATAGATTTGACAATTTTAGTTAAATGTTTACTTTACCGTGGATTCTTCACTAAGTAGATGAATGGAGCGTCTTTTTACTTTTGTTATCCTTAATTCATTTCTACGAAAAAAAATACAGAAAATTGAGGTTTTTATGCTAATTTCTACTTTGATTATGTATATATATACATATTTACATGTTTGAGTTGGCCGGAAATTGGACCCCTCACTGAACTCAATCAAATATATGACATTGAGTCTATGATGATCACCTTTTATAACCGTGTTTGTTGTAACATGGTTGAAAAACAATACATGTGACATTACTAATGTTAGTTTGTTTTGTTTTTTTTTATTGCAGAGCAGCAAAGAGTAATTGTGCTGGAAAAAGAGGAACAAGTCCTATGTAAGATGAACCTGAAGAACAATTGATAAAACTATTTTGTAATAATCTTTTCTTTTTTGTACCCCAACCGCGTCTTTTAATTTCCAAAAATATATATCTATTGTGCTAGTACGTCGCGTTCTTGCTCCAGAGGCATTCACCGATCCTGACAGTTATGTTGTTATTTCAGATCTCTCCTGCTTCCAAGTAAACGCTAATAATACGTGCTACATCGTAGTCGCGGTCTAACAACACATATGGTTGTTCATTTTCTAGATAAGCCGGTTTTAGTCTATCAATACTTATGTAGTAGATGTTTCCTTGTTTTCTTTATCACTAAAGATTCAGATTTTCCTGAGATAACTTTGAAAAGACCTTTAAATGGAGGACTAAGCGTTGATTTTATTTTGTCACACGTTATCCAGACATGCGTGCAATTTCTGAGATCCTTAGGTACATATTCAACTAGCGATTGTTCACGTGTATTAATTGGTTTGAGTTTGGACATGTGTTCCCCTAGTTGATCTACGTGATTTTCTAAATCACGCTTTTACTGTCACTATTAAACTCACTCGGTAGTCTCAGAGTCGTCCCGAAAACTAGTTTCGTTGCTGAACACTGTGAGTCAATCTTGACGGCTGTTCGTATTCTCAACATAACTAATCGCAGGAATTCTGTCCACTGATTGGGGTTTGAGTGTGATATAAGCGTAGCCTTTAGTTGATGGTGGAATCGTTCTGCCGTTTCATTAGCCTGAGGTTGATATGCAGTACAACGTATTCTATCGGAGCCTAAAAGTTTAGCTAAATTGTTAAATAGTTCAAGTTCGAAATGTGCTCCTCTATCCGTTGTTATTGTTATAGGTATACCAAAAATGGTCACCCAGTTCTGCATGAAAAACCTAGCCGATGTTTCGGCTGTGATGTCCGTTATCGGTATGGCTATAGCAAATTTCGTGAGTCCATCTATACATGCAAAACTGGTGGAACGCAGTAAAGGGCCTATTTAGTCGATATGCACATGGAAAAAACGCTCAACTAGTTGTGCGAAAACGCAGATGGGTGAATTTGTTTGACGGTTCACTCTTGACTGCTGCCTTACCGAACACTCTCTAACCCGTTCGTGTACATCCTTTTGTAAAGTTGGTCATGTCTTGCATTGATTAGTTTAGTCGAATCTTTTGCGCCAGGATGAGACAACGAGAGTTATTAAATGTTAATCTTCGCATACTTTTGGGAACGAAAGGTGGAGGCATTACCAAGGTCATGTCACAATTATTCAGAATACCATCAATAAGCGATAGTAACTGGTTTAGTTTGAAACTAGCGTTGTTTGTTGTAATGAGGCTTTGTAATTCTTGATCCTCTTCATGTTTGTTTCTCATTGTCTCGAAAGTTACTGCAGACTGTTGTACCACGTTCATTTATAGTCAATATAATAGATCTGCCGCCTGATTTTCCTGATCTTTGACATATAAGATATCCCTTGTGAACTGTGATATATAGTGAAGGTGTCGGATTTCTAGAGGTGAGTATTTGTCAGCTCTCGCTTTCAATGCATTGGTCAGTGGTTTGTAATCCGTAAAAACTATGAGGTGTGAGCCTTCTAACATGTTTCGAAAATGCTCAATGGTTAGGTAGACTGCAAGAAGTTCTGGTCCGAAGGTAGAATAAATTGTCTCTGCCGGATCGAGTCTTTTTGCCAAGAAAGCAATTGGTTTCGAGAAGCTTCTTAACCAGTTAGTTAAGGGGACCACATACTGCTTTGTCCGAAGTATCCGTCATCAAAGAAAATGAAGAAAGAGGATCCGGATACATCATCGCAGATGTCTGAGTCAGTCTATCCTCTAGCCTTTTAATCTTTTATACATATAAGGCTCAAGTGCAAAAATATACCTATCTGTGACGTCTATGTTTGTTCATCTAGCATTCCTTAATATTACCTTCTTCATGTCGGATTC